CAAAAAGTAATACCAAATACCAAAATTTAGAGCAATTAGAGTTCGTTTAAGCCATGAACAAAAATCCCGAAATATTCAAAAGGCTCCCTATAAGTCAAAAACTTGATTTCGGAGTCCTAAACAACTGAATTTGGCTGAAAAGTAGCATGGGCCATTAGCTAAAAGCTAGCGCGGTTTGTTTATTGGGTCGTTTCCAATCAAGAATGGGTCTTCTCGAGTTGAAACGTTGTGGTCGACCTGACCAGAAAAAGTCGGCTTAAATCAAAGCATATCTCTAAACTTGCCTTTCAGCTCAGATCACGCTGTCTTCCTCTTTTTCTTTCTTTGAAAGAAAGCGAGTGAAGTGGAAAACTGACTGACTTTGGATCATAGAAGACGTCGAAACAGGAATCGCTCTCATTCTTGACATTACCTGATTTGGTATCTGGTATGTAGTCAGAGGTTGACTTCTGGATGTAGAGGAGGAAAGCCGGATCGGTTTCATATTCAGAATATCGGATTGCTCATTAATAGGTAGTTTGCTCACTTGAAATTCCTAAAATCTGTCCTACATCATTTATTATTATTATTTTTATTGGTGATAAATAAAATTTCAATAACAGACTCCTAAAAGGGGAGCGCATCCATAAAACAACTGTACGAAAGAATGCAACCCTATTCACCAGAAGATCTACCAAAGCCTCTATAGATATACACCTTTTCCTTGTTACCCAAAAAAGGAGACAGCTTCGAATATGGTGTTTCAGCACCTGGATTGGAGCTTCTCCTCCATCAAAAGACTGCCTTTCTCTCATCTCACAACCCCCACCATATACATAAAGGACCTGCGTTACAAGATCTGGAGCATGTCTCTCCACTATACATCCCCTCCACGACTTGAGAGTCTCCATTGCTGAATTTGCCATGACTCAATGCATACCAAACACAACAAAGAACATAGTCAAACGTCCCTGGTAACTGGGCAATACAAGAGAAGATGGCTCATTGACTCCTTGTTCGTTGTACTCATACAACACCAATTAACCATGATTTGACGATGCCTCTTCCTCAAATTGTCAAGTGTCACAATCTGTCCCAAAGCCACTGTCCACCTAAAGAAAGCCACCCTGAGGGTAGCTTTTATTCTCTAAATCACTTTTCAAGGGATTTCTACTGTTTGATTGCCTTGAAGCATCCAATAAAAGGATCTCACCGCAAATCCCCCAAACCTGGAACCCTCCCGACACTGCTTGTCCTCCCCCTCACTATCCACAATCTCTTGATAAAGCAATTTGAAGAAAGCCAACACTTCATCCATCTCCCGTCTTGGACTTGCCTCTCAGACTGACTATCCAATGAAAACTGCCCGTTATCATGATAATAAAAGTCCGCCACCAAATCGCTTTACAGGTAACTCAGATTGTTATGGATATGAACTCTTTGGTTGTATCAATATGCAGCCCATTCGAGACTTTCTTGGGGATGAGGGATTGGAAACTTGCCATTAGTAAGTCCTAAAGCACTTGGGTCTTCTTTTCAATAGTGACCCCTATAGGTTTTGGAAAGGAGAAGCCTATTTCTATGCTTAAGTTCTCCATTATTTCCACTCTTTTTTCTTAGGTTTCAGGGAGAGATTATAGATCTATTGAGGAGATTGTATTCTTTTTGGCCTCTTTGAAGGCTTGAGGTGTTTTTTGGCCTTTTTGTTTCTTTGGTATTTGCTCCCCTTTTGAGCGCTTTTTATAAATTTTACTTATCAAAAAAAAAAAAAAAAATAGTGACCCCTATAGGTTTTGGCGACTGCAATTAAAAGGTTGCCCAACCGTCTTCTTTATTGGAAGAAAGTATTTCTTTTGTTAGGAATTATAATCATCGTCATTTATTGCCATTTGGACTACATCTTTTACTTAACCTCTGCTATTAGAGAGAAACTTTTAGCTAATACTATTGCAAGGATTCTGGTAATTTCTCTCTACAATGTCCCTTAGATTGGGAAGGACATAGGCTCGGCACATTTTGTAGCTATCATTGTCGTGTCCGTCAAATTCAGGCGTTGGTGCATTCTACTAGGTGGCAGCTTTTCGGTACACGGCCTTGCGTTGTCGTCAGCCGTACGCCGTTGGGCAGCAGTCTTTAGAAGCATGCCATCTATGAACGATCTGACGAAACAAGAGATGGAATAAAACCTAGCTTTTCGTCACGCGAATTTGCTGCCAGTCTTTGAGGTTGTCTTCCTTGCTTGACAGTATAGCCTGCAGGTGAAATACTAGATGTTGGATTGTACATGGGAATGATAATGGTGAGGCCATTTATAATTTCTTAGATTTAAATCTGAGAAGCAGTAGAAATGGCCTGATAGTTGGATAATTGTGTTCCATTTCACACACGCAAAAGAAAAGGAAAAAGACACAACGATGAAAAAAAGTGGCGGTTTCGGTAAGGAAATGTGGCCATTAGGAATAAACCAGTAGAGTTTTGTTGACAGTTCAATTGAATTGCAAGAGCAAAGTTTTCTTTCAAATTTGATTATAATAAATAAGAGTGCTACTCCGGAAAATGTATGGAACAGTCTCATGTGTTAGAAGAAATCCATTTGCCAAGGATATCTTTGTTTTTTTATTTTTCTTTTCCAACCCAAGTACATCTAATTTGTATCCGGAGGACTTTTGGTTGGAATCATACTCTTGATGGTTCCTTCTTAAATAGTTTTTAAAAGTTTAAGGCACCAAGGTATCCTAAAGCCTAAGCATAAGGCACAATTTAAGATGCAAGTCTAAGTGAAGCATGTTGTGTATGTGAAGTAAATGAATATATAACATATTTATTGAAGAGTTTAAGAAGCACAAACAAACTAGTCAAGATCAATATGAACAAAAGTTTCAGCATAAGATGTTTTTTTTTTTTTTTTTTTTTTTTTTTTGTTTTTTTGTTTTTTTTTGAGATTGAAAGGAGTAAGGACCTGAAAAGTAGTAGGTTGAGGCACTCTTGCTAAGCCTTGGCAAGTGTGACAATTTTTTTTAAGCCTAGGTGTGCTGTTAGCAAATATGTTTCTTCCTTCTATTCTATCCTTCTAGTCTCCATGTGGCTCCAATTCTTTGTTTATTTTATTGCTTCAAGTTTTTGATCAATTTTTATGTTTGAATAATCAAAGAGTTTGCCATTTCTTATGACAGTAATATGTATCTTTCTTGTTCCAACCTGATTGAGGATGATCCTCAAAAGGAGTGGAATGTTCTCATCAAAAATTTATTTTAGCATGCTTCCTAAGAGTGATGATCCTTTCATTTTTCTCTAGCTAGAGTCATTTGAAAAGCTAAAGCACCCTAAACTTTAAGTTTTGACTTGGTGGTTGGACCAAATTAGATGAGATGAGTTATTTTTTGCAGATAATTTCAAGAATTTCGCGTCATTTGTGTTTTGAATTAATGTTTCAGTTGTTCACCAATGTACCAACCCCACAATCAACATGATGGTAGTTTCCTGAATCTACAAATTACCAATCACAAATAAAGTGGTAGCTTTGCTCCTAATTGTGTTATTTTGTTGGCTTTGGTATAATTAATATTCTCCGGTGATGAAATCTTTGCTTATGTGATGCATTACTGTTATACTGCCAGAAGTGAACCATCTTGTCCATGCTTCTCCTTAAATTCAGTTGTTTCCAGTCCAGTGTATTAACATTATTCTAAGATGTATTATGTAATGCTCATATATCCTAAACTTGTATGAATTTCAGAGAAAACAGTTGTTTCTAAACACTACCGTGTTGTGTTTGCATTTTGAAAGTAACTGTTAGCATATATGATAGACACGATTATGGAATGACTTACCATATTAGCAGAGATTTGATTATGGTATAGAATATGCTTTAGAATATGCTGTGATTTGATTTAGTTTCCTTTCTTGTAATATGAGCATGTGCTATTTTTATCTATAAATACTAGAGCTGCGAATGAGTGATTCATCTCATTCAAGCCTTTTCACAATTCTCTCATTTTTCTTCTTTTTATATTTCTACTTAGTATCAGAGCCATGGTGGTCCGATTGCAATAAGGGCATTGTGAGTTCGGCACCACTCATTCGGGAATGGTCTAATGGCCATCCAGGAGGTCGTCGGGTAGGTAGGACGGTCCGACCTCAATGAGGGCGTTGCGAGTTTGGCACCACTCATTTAGAAACGGTCTGAGGAGACATAGTTGTTTCTTTTTTTATGGTCTGAGGAGACATAGTTATTCTTTTTTATGGCCTGAGGAGACATAGTTGTTTCTTTTTTATGGTCTGAGGAGACATTGCTGATTCTTCCATCTACATATTTTAAACATGTGAAGGGAAATGGTTTGAGGAGACATTATTGGTTGTTTATGGTTTGAGGAGACATAATTGGTTGTTTATGGTCTGAGGTGACATTGTTAATTGTTTATGGTCTGAGGAGACATTTTTGATTTGTTGATCGGCACTTCATTTGAGAGAAAATCATTGCTAGTCAGGTTTTCACCCTACACCTTGTAGATTCTTACAAATGGCATTAGCAAGATTGTGTTTGAGAATGCATTGTCCAAGTTGGGCGTTTCAGATATCCACACACCAACTTGAGGGGGAGTGTTAGCATATATGATAGACACGATTATGGAATGACTTACCATATTAGCAGAGATTTGATTGTGGTATAAAATATGCTTTAGAATATGCTGTGATTTGATTTAGATTTGATTTAGTTTCCTTCCTTGTAATATGAGCATGTGCTATTTTTATCTATAAATACTAGAGCTATGAATGAGTGATTCATCTCATTCAAGCCTTTACACAATTCTTTCATTTTTTTTATTTTTATTTTGCTACTGTAACATATATTTTTTTTTCTTGTAGTGATGCTATTGCTTCTTCAACGTTTGATGCTTTCACTAATTATGTTCAGAATTTCTTTTTTGATATTTTTTTTTTTTTTTTTGATTTTTTTATTATTGTTTTTTATGTTTCTCACTATTGGAAGTTCTAATTGCATGCTTCTTTATTTTTGGCAGGCAATTTTGCACAGGCGAGTACAGGTAGATGGATACTCTAGTTTTAAGTTCAATTATTTGTTTGTTGATGGCTTCTATGAAGCAAATGTCCCTTTCAATCATGATGCAAGGTGGCATCACTTGAGTATGATGTAATGAACCATCTGAATAGTTGATATGATCGGTTAGGTGTTATTCAGATTGAAGTGAGTCCTAAGCATGTAGTATTTTATTCTTCAAAACTCGAGTCAACTCATTAGCTTTGACTAATTTCACTTTAAATTGAGACTACATGGAATTTCTTTTCTCAACTCTTTTTGACTTGAGGGATTAATTTTAGCATGGCATATTAATTTTCTTGATCAATGTCAATACTGTTATAAATAGTTCCTTCTTTGGCTAATTGGGATTCCAACCAGGGGCTGCCCTTTGAACTTGTGAGTACAACGTAAATTGCAGATATCCATGACCACCCGCAAACCACGGATATTGCTTAAATCTGGACTTGAACTTGAGAGCTCAAGGTACTGACACTGCCATCTGAGCAACCCTGACAGGTTTTAGAAATTAGTTCATAGCCACCAGAATGGCAAGAGAAAGGATGAAAATGAAAATAACGGTTTTAGAAGAGGAGTTGTCATATCGTAGCTGCTGAAATAAATTTAATATAAGCTAGTTCATAACTAGTAGAATGGGAATTCACGAGGGGTAAAAAATAAGAAATTTGAAACACTAGGAGTTTTAACTCTTATATATACTTAAGGGTATTTAAGAATATTAAATCTAAAGAGGGTTATAACGTCATTACTGGATTGGGTTAACTCTATTTTACCCATACCTGCCCATTTACTGTATTAACCCTCACCATCTGTTCCATTAGGGTTGGGTCAGAAAGCCGTTGGGCCAGGTTAAATTGCCACCTGTAATGAGAAGAAAAATTATGAAACTCTATTATAATAATATTTCTCCAAGAACTTTCAGAATGACTTTTTAAAGTTTCCGCAGAGAGTCTGATAGCTCAGTTTGGGCTTCTTGAAGTATTTTGCTTAAATTTTAACTTTCTGTCTAAGCTTCCAAAATGGGGTTCTAGGAACCTTGTTTATCAACTTCCAGCAGTTACATATGTTAGTTAAGTGTGTATTAATATTATGTATGAAATTTGTTTACATGGCTGCAACAAGTCACCGAGGTACTCTGAGTAAGACTTAGCATTCAGTGGCATCTGTTAGAGTTATATAATGCTGTTGGATATTGATATAATTCAATTTCCTTTGGGGTATGAAGTTTTCCATTACTAATCTCATTCATCTATTGGATTGAATTGGCAGAAAAGCAGGATTACCTGTGGGTTACAAAGGATGCCAGTTCCATCGGGTGATAAAGGATTTTATGATTCAAGCCGGCGATTTTCTGAAGGTTGTCTTTCTCTTGATAAACCTGAGTATTTTTGCAGGTTTGAAGTGCAGTCCTGGCACTTAACTTTTCGATATTTTGAATTTTTTGTGGTTCATGTTTTTCCTTCTCTGCAAATTAGCTAAAGTGGAGTCCTTTGATCTTCATTCAGGACTTTGATGATCCTGGTACTTGGTTGCATGTGTATTGCTTATAAAAAAACTAATAAAACAAGGAACTTAATGTGATGTAAATGGTGATTCTGGAATAGGAATTAGTTTCAAATTTGTTGTCCACATCCATAGAGCAGACCATTTTTTCCCCCGAACATCTGATTTTCATTGAGAAAAAATGCAGGACTACAAAAGCTTTATAACCTACAATTGACAGCAAATGTACTGAGATGAAGAACATCTGTGATTCCTTCCTTAGGAAATTGTCTTTTGGACTTGTCAGTCCACTAAAATTTAGTTTAGTTCATTTTTCATGGTAAACAATCTTAAATTCCAAGAAGTAATATATGTATATATATACACACACCAAAGGCAGTTAAAATCTTTGCTTCATCAGGGATATGTGTTCCCATGCTAGCATCCTGTCCTTGCTATTGCTTTTAGGCAGATTCAAGTTCTTATATGTTCTGGTGGCTTCGCACTCCTCTTAAGTTATCAACTAGAATACTTATTATTGTATTCAAATCCAGAAGATTTGTCTCTGACATCATAAATTATTTTAATTGCTGCAGTAGTGGTTATGCTCATCTGCTACCACCTATTTTGTATTTTAATTACTGTTACATGATCCAACTCATCAAATGATAGTGTTGCTTTGTAGGGTGATGGTAGTGGATGTGTATCCATTTACGGAAGCAAGTTTGAGGATGAAAATTTTATTGCCAAGCACACTGGTCCTGGTCTATTGTCAATGGTATTCAATTTAAGCACCTTATTCAATATTTTGTTATGTTTTTCTTTCATCATTTCATTGTTTGGTTCCCATACTAAACCTAAATTTTACTGAAGATGTTATTCTATGTTTTGGCCATATCACTATCCTCCATGTATCTCACACATGCTTTAAGTTATTATTTATTTCATCTTTTAGGTTCATTTTTAATGTTTATTTTTTGTAAGGAAGTAATTTATATAAGGAGGAGACCAGGTACAGGTATAAAGAGGGGTGTACCCCAGTGTACAAAGGAAGAAATCCAGAAAGGTCTAGATAAGAGCTTACAAAAACACAGATTTGGGGATGTTCCATGCTATTTGCAGCTCTTTGTTCCTAATTGATTCCTCCACTCTATAGGAAGAATATAGTTTAAACTTATCCTCAGCAATGCATTTACCAACTATTTTCTCATCCTTGTTAGTATTGGTTTTGATCCTGTTGTTCCTTACCCTACAGGTGTGATAAACCATAGCAGCTAAGGCAATCTTATGGGTAAGATTAGCCCACTGTTTTCCTCTAAGATTAGCTTACCTCTGTTTTGAATAGCTTTCCAACATCAGCAGAGTACTTGCAATGGAGGAAAACATGTTGAAAAGTTTCTACTGCATTTCTGCATAATACACATGTATCACTTCAGATAATTCCTCTCTTTGAGAGAAGATAGAGTCTGCAACCTGCATCTAGCAGCCAACCAAAGTAAAGGAATGTCTTGGGACATGACCTTTGAACCAAACTGCAGAAGCCCACTGACATTTATCTCTGTGCACTCTGAATGAATTCCAAGAATTCTTTGATAGAAATGGTTTGCCAGTATCAGCCCAAACAGCCTTATCATTAGCCTTCTCAAATTGGGCCACATAGAAGCCAGTAATCAAGCCAAAGCGAAGTTTCTCTGCCATTACCAATTTTATGCTTGAATTTAATCGTTAGGATGTCTCTCAGCATCAGCAATTGTCTCCGACTCCAAGAAGCTGAGGTAGGAATTTTTACCTGCCAGAAACTTTTGCCCTCTAATAGATGAATTTTGAACGAGCAGTCCTTAAGAGTCTTTGAAAGGTTAGGATTGACGATGTTGCATGCATGTTAGAAAAAGCAGTTCTGTTCTATGTTTAGGGGGACCAACATCAGCCCAGGCAACTTTACTCCCCCCTTTAGCTAATTGATTCCCTTTCCAAAGAAACCTCTTCAATGTTTGTTAAATTGCTGCAAGAACTTTTTTTTTTTTTTTTTTTTTTTTTTGTGTTGGGGGGGGGGGGGGGGCAAAATCAATGGAGCTGGCCAATAAACCTGAACAGAGAAAAAGGACTGCTTTGACAGGTTGCGGTCTTCTGGCATAAAACAGAAAATTTGTTGTCCCGCTCTTAGTTTTGTTTACAGTTTTCTCCAATAATCTGCAATCATCCACCTTCAGTCTAGTAGTAATGAGAGGAATCCCTAAATACGTAACAGGGAGAGTTCGCTCAGAAATCCCCAATATGGCATTGATTGCTTCCTTGTATTCTTCTGAAACTCCAGAGTAGTAGCCCCGTTCTTAGCCATGTTAGGGAAAACCTGGAATGAACTTCTTTGATATTCTTCACAGATTGTATGGAGCCCGCAGAGTATATAAATAAGTCATCTGAAAAGCACTTATGTGTCAAGTAGATTTTAGCACTTTTCTGGTGATATCTCAAGCTGCCTTTTTTGATTTCCTACCTCATAAGTCCATTTACCACCTCCATTCCAATGACAAAGATGGATGGGGGATAAAGGAATCCCCTCTCTTATCCCTCTACCACTATTTAAAAATCCACAAAGTTCATTCAATTTTACTTGCTCTAGTTTTAGGTCAAATTTTGTCCCTACAATCTAGTAAATTTAGTCTTTTACCACTTTGCTCTCCAAATATTAGCAAATTTTTTGATTAAATTTCTATGGTTATAGTGTGACCTTTGGGTGGACTCTTCTTCTTCTATTTCTGAAAAGAGAGAAGAAGGGGGGGGGGGGGGGGGGGGGGAGGGGGTTGTGGCGGGGTTTAGATAATTTCATTGACCTCCCCTCTAGATATGCTAAATTATAGAAACCAGCCCCAAGTTTTGGAAGATCTCACTCACCTCCCTTCTAGTTAACGCCTTTGTAATAAATCGACCCCTTCCGTCAATCTCCATTACAGTCAAAGGTAGTCAATGTCCATGTCATCAAAATTCAAGGTAAAAATGATGATTCTGCCCTTAAAATGTCAATGAAGACACTTTTACCCTCTCACTAACTTCTAATTTTCTCTCACATTCTTCTCTCTAAAACTCAATTCTTAAAATTCCGCCATTGCAGCCAATGTAAATAGAAAGAGGAACATAGAGAAAGAAAAGGCAAATGGGTTGTTCAGATATATTTGTATATAAATAGTATTGGGTGCAAATTACATATATGTGTGTGTGTATCAAAGTTTACATATTAAAATTTAAGAACCAGAGAGACAACAAGTGGGTCTCTCTCTACAATACATTGTTAATATAGAAAGAGAATGTGAAGTCAAGTTGTTGATTCCAGGCTTCTAACAGTTGGTGGATATTTTCTTCCTGAACTCTGTTCCCCTATTCTGACAAATTGGGGCGAATCTTGAGAATCAAGAGAAGAGAGGAAGATGGTGTCGTGATTGCAAGATTCTAACAGTTGGTCAATCTTTTCTTTCTGAGCTCTGTTCCCCTATTCTTAGGGATTGGGCAAATCTCGAGAATCAAGAGGAGAGAGGAAGACAGTCGTGAATTAGAGATTACAGGGATTAGGGTTTTCGGTTGTGAAAAACAAGGGTTTTCAAATTGCAGGCTTATGGCTGGTATACAAAAGGGGGATAAGGGTCAGGGTTTCAATTGTGGGGGACATGGCTGATATGCATTTATTCATCTCCTCAAAATGTCAGTTTGGTGTCTCTGCTAGACTGATTACATTTGACGTACCACCTTCTGGCCTCTCGTCAAAGTCGCAGGAAACAGGACGGTCATTTTTGACATGTGCACTCAATGGCATGTATATATATATATTTGGTGGTGATAATTTTATGTCCAATTTTTTTTTTTTTTTTTAAATAATAAGGACAAAAGAGTAATTTTATATACCCGTTCAACATTCATCTCTGACAGGGTAGAACACTGTAATTTTCCAAAACTAAGGTGTGGTTTCTGTAATTTAGCATATCTAGAGGGGAGGGCAGTGTAGTTATCCTCTTTTTTTTTTTTTTGGGTGTGCTGTACTTCATCGTCAATTATTGAATATAGAATAATGTGAATCTTTGATATGGTACCTCTGATGAATGCATATAATTCTTTTGGTTTTACTGAATATCCAACCTCATTTGTGATCATAGTTATGGCAATCAGCTGAAATTTCTGTTAACCTGTAAACATTGGTGTCTTGAATATAATATTGAGATCCTATTATTCGTACTGAGGAGAATCTGTATTCCTTATTTTTGGCAGGCAAATAGTGGACCAGGTTCTAATGGGTGTCAGGTAACACACTAAAGATTTTATTTCTTCTTCTTTGTTATATCAATTATCAAATTCTGTTATATTGCCTTATCTAATAAAGATGATAAATAACCCCTCACGGGATCCGTATTGCTGTAATTTGTTAAAGTTACATAGTTGTGTTAACCGGAGAGGTTTGAAACCTTTGCCAAGCTGAGGATTTATTATTATTTTTACTTTTTTTTTTTTTTAAATTACAGAACTTTTTCTTTTTTCCTGACAAACTGCTTTCAGCAGTACTTGTCATCTGGAAAAATAAATGGTCTGTGCTTTATTTCAAGGTTGTTAGAATCGGGATTCTAGGTAGGATCGATGAGGGGTCCATAGGATCGGAATAGTAGGATTGGATCGAGAATCTTAGGATTCTATGAAACTATTTGAAAAGTAACTCAAACTAAATTTCTAAATCAAATATTTTCGATATAAGTAGAGAATAAGGCTAAATAATCAATTCAGACACACTAGCAAAATTAATTAACATTAAAAGTACTAAGCCACATGACAAACACTAAATATCAGTATCTTCATTTCAACAAAAAATTCAGCATAACAATCAAGCAAAATCTTAGAGAAGAAATTAAAGTAAAGCCTAGTGTAGAGAGAAAAGTACAATTTAGTTGCCTAATTGTTTGAGCAATTTAGTTGAAAATTTACTTTTTGGTTAAAAAAAAGGAACAAAATAAAGATAGAAAGAAAAACGAAAAAAAAAAAAATGAAGTCTTTCTTAATTTTAGTTTCAGAATTGACAAAGAATAGGTGGAAAAATAGAATTCTTTATGTTCCTTGTACTGAAAAAGAAAGAAGAAAAGAGAAATTAAGAAGAATAAAACAAAATAGAGGAAATTTTTGAAATTTTAAACTACACCTTGAAATTCTGAGTTGATCGTCTTTACAGACGTTTGTTTCTTTATTTTTTGATTTTGATTTTGATTTTTTTTAATGTAAGTAGGCTAAAGAGTTGGACTTTATATTTAAAATTATCAAATTTGTTAGTCCAAAGTTAATTGTTGGTCCAAATAAATTCGGAAGAAGAACAAAATAACATTATTTAGTAGAATCGGTAGGATCGTAAGTTTCTACGATCCTACTTCCGATTCTACAGATCCTACTGAAATTCAACTTCCCAGGGATTTTAGATGGGATCGGAATCGTTTCGGCAATTTGGGATCATAGAACTGTAAGATTCTAAGAGTCAGAACTGGGATTTTAACAACTGCGCTTTATTTTCCTTTACTGTTGGTGGAATTAATGGTGATTGAATGTTATACATCGAGATGATTTTGTGTCTGTCAAATTGAAGTCTTACAACTTTGTTTATTATATTGATTTTGTTCTCCTCACATCGATTGCAGTTCTTTATCACATGTGCAAAGTGCGATTGGCTCGATAATAAGCATGTAGTCTTCGGGGTATGTTCAGTTTTACCCCTTCTGGATTCTTTTACTTACTTGATGTTTCATGCAATCTAATGTGGAACTGATTAATGGGTCCAAAAGTAGGTTTTCAACTCAATTAACCTTATGTTGGTTTGATATCGTGTAATGTAGCACGGAACAAGCATCAATCAAGTACCTAACAATTTTTGTTTATGGGAAGTCACACACATGAACCCACTTTGTCCTGTCAATCACTCAAACTTTCAACCTTCCATTCGGGAGGAGGAAGAAATACTATATGGGCTAAAGCCTCTTTAGTAATATAAAACTAAATTAATTCCCTCAATCAAAGGGAAGCCTATGTTTCATGACTCCTGTATGTGTTAGGTACTCATTAAGTATTCATGTTTTGCTAAGAGTTATTGGATTTGGTATGGATATTTATCTGACAATGTTTAGATGGACATACATCGAACGAACGTATCCTCTAAATTAAATATAATTGTATATCAAAATCTTTTGTTAGGTCATTGTTGTACTTCATTTCTAAAAAATGAGTGAAGTTACCACGTCGAACACTTTATAAATATAATTTACCATGTTAAATAAATGAATAAAAGAATATATAGCCTTGCACTATTAGATAAATGAATAAAGGATATATAGTCTTGCACTGTCTTTTTAACCAACACTAGGACAAATATTCACATGCCAATGTCTTAAAATTAGATCCAACAGTTTTTGTATAAAATCAAGTCTGTTTCATGTGTATACACACACTGCAGGATCAACTTAAAAGTGATGTGAGAATAACTACTTGCACCCCTGAATAATTTCTTGAGAATCCATCTTTATCAATCTGATTCTTGAAATTATGTATTTTCATCATGTCAAATATTAAGCCGCAATTGGATTTAGGTTATTATCTGAACTCATATTTTTCTTAATCCAATTCTTTAAAACGCTAAACTAAGCTCTAAATATCAGATCTGTTTTTTTGGGCATGCAGGATAAAAATGAAAAATAATCACGTCAAAAATGACGGATCTAAGATTAATGTACTTGTTCTTTTGTTTGTAAACCGTTCACTAGTAGCACAAATATACATTGAATAATATATGAATTACTCGGGCTATTTTGTTAAATTGTACAATCTATGATTGTGCAACTAAAATTTCTCTGTCATATTATTTTTGTAATTTTTCCTTTTTTTCCAAACTAAAATTTTCCTAAGTATTTTTGTTTAATTATTTGGTCTTTATATTCATGATGCAGAGAGTGCTTGGAGATGGTCTTTTGGTGGTCAGGAAGATTGAGAATGTGGCTACTGGACCCAACAACCGGCCTAAGTTGGCTTGCATTATTGCTGAATGTGGAGAAATGTAAACCATGAATTTGGATTCAATCCAAACTCATTATTGTGATTTTCAGGGACTTGTAAAGTTGTTAGTCTCCTAAATTTTAGATGTTCATCTAATCTTTTGCCTTGGTGTTTTTTTAGATGCATAACAGAATTATTGATTTAACTTCAACTAGAATTATCTAATAGTAATTTTTTGGTTAATTTGTGGACTTGATTACTGCATTAATTATTCAACTTCAAAGCTGAGTAGATGTTTTTTCACCTTGGTAGAAGGAAGGGTTGCATGAAGGCCACAGAAGATCATCGGTTCAGTAGAGGCCACAGATGATCTTCAGAATGCATGTTTTATTTTGTTCTCTTATCCAAACGAGCCTAAGGCTTCGTTTGGATCGAGTGATTTGGAGGGATTTGAAAAGTGAAGAAAAAAAGGGATAGTGGAAATCATGTTTGGATAACTATTCCTCTAAATCGATTTGAAGGGAAATGTTATTTAGTAAGTAGCATTTTTATAATCTCGAAATTACCTTCTTATAACATTTGATTTTCATCAAATTTTTTTTTTTTTTTTCCTAAATAGGAATACTATCATTTCCTTTTTTCTTTTCTCTTATAATTTATCTAAACATTTTTTGTCATTTTTTATTTTTTTATTTTTTGACCTTTTCTCTTCTCTTATGGCCTGTTTGGTATGTGTTTTGTTTTACACGTTTTGTTTTTGGATAAAATAGAAACACGCGTTTTGAAAAAAAAATCGGAAGCATGTTTGGGAACGATGTTTTAGGCGTTTTGATTTTGACCCGTGTTATGCTCTTGTTATAATTTTGGGTTATGAATTGTTGCTAAAATAAGAAAAAATAACTTTTTGGTATTTTGGTTTTGGGTCACAGTTAGCACGTCGCATCAAATATGTTTTTGTTGCCAAAATCGATACGGTAGAGCTTAAAAACAAAAATAATAAAAACAAAACACATACCAAACGACGAAGCCAAAGTCACAAACCTCTTTTCATAATTCACATATCTGTGTATTCTATGCACTATTATTATTATTATTTTTAAAATAAAAAATAAGAACAGAAGATTTTGGGATAGTGGGTGCACATGGAGGGAGGGGTCTCACACACAGGCTGTCAAACATAGTAGCTGTTGTAAGTTACAATCCCACTCCATCCAATTCAAGGTGGATTAGGGTTTGAATACCTTTTTGGGAATAAGAAGCAGAGAGATTCAAAGATCCAACCCTAACTCCAAGAATGCTTTGCCAAATCAATCATGGAAGCATGGACGAATGGGATTCGAATATGATATCTTTAACCTACCAGCCCAAGCCATGGTGTCCCGGTTCAATGCATTCAAGTACCAAAAAAAATAAATAAATAAAGGACTCTGTGTGTCTCTGCATACACAAAATAATGTACTATAATTTTAAGTGGAATGGGAGCAGCATTATTCTTATGAGTGACCACCACGCTTAGAGTGCCCAAACACAAGTACAATTCATAGTGTAATGTACTTCCTGGTTCCAATGTAATGGTGAGATTTGGAAACTTAAGATACTCCCTGGTTCCAATGTAATGGTGAGATTTGGAAACTTTAGAGCCTGCTTGGCTTCTCATTCAAAAAATAAATTTTTTATTTTTATTTTTGGAGAATTAAAAATAAAATAAAAAACAGTATAAAGACTCTGTTTAGTTCAGTTTTCTGAATATTGTTTTCTGAAAACCGAATTATAAATAGGCATAGGCGTACTTGATTTGTCACTCTAAAAATAATTCTCTGTTTTCAATTATTTTCTGATAACCGTACAAAAATTCTGTTTGGTTCAGTTTTCTTAAAACCATTTTTTGAAAACTTTGTCATAAAAGGTATAAAATGTTTTTAAAGACTTGTCTTTTATTATTCTCCTACAATAGTTTTTTGTTTTATGTTTTCTGAGTTTCAAACCAAGCAAACCCGTATTTTCATATAACTATACCGATCTTTTATACTTTTCTGAAAATAGTTTTCTGTATTATAAGTTTTCGAGAACTGTTTTCAAAGTGAAAAACCAAGCTGACCTAACTTTTTAAGATGATAGTCTTTTTTTTTTTTTTTTTAAGTGAATGAATTACCAAATCTACTGTATATATGAAAATAGTAGTTTTTTTTTTTTTTTTTTTTGAATGAATTACCAAATCTACCCGGTCCACAATGATGTCATGTTTTATACTCTAGAATGTTAAATTGGTAATGCATTACAAATAATACATTAAAATTTCAATTGGGACACGGAGGGAGTATAATTTGATAGGAAGACATACCCAATTATGAAAACTCAATTTAAAATTAATTTTAGCAAAAGCGGTTTTCAACCATCTTCATTACATGTAAAATTAGATGATGGATACCACACTTCCATTTGCATAGATGTAGTGAGAAACCGAGAGTTGGACAACTCTACTTTAAATATCAAGAGTTGTGTTAGTTTAGACCTAATAATACTCTACTTTTTGGAGAGTGTATGCAACACCTCTCTTGGATTAGTCTGACAAGGTTTTTGTTTTGTATCTTTTGTTATACTAAATTAGTGAAAAATATAGGGATGTGGATTAATATTTGTTGCAAGTATCGTGTTGCTCGAGCAGTAGGATTGCCCCCCGTGTTCGGAAACCCATATTCTAGCTTTGCACCCTCCTCCTCTCTAACAACTAACTTCTAACATT